GTGCGACGAGACGGTCAAGCCCGTTATTATGCCCAACCGACGTGTGCCTGTAGCTGTTCCCCCAAAGCTCAAGGAGGAACTGACTCGCCTCGTAAACCTCAAGGTCATACAGCCCGTCGACCAGCCCACACCTTGGGTCAGCCAGATAGTCTTGGCGAAGAAAAAGTCTGGAGCCCTACGAGTCTGCATCGACCCAAAGGAACTAAATAAAGCCCTACAGCGCGAACACTACACCCTGCTGGTTATCGACGACAAGCTGCATGAGCTGAGGGAAGCGAGGGTGTTCAGCAAGGCGGACCTGGCATCAGGCTATTGGCACGTCGAGCTAGACGAGGAATCTAGCCTGTTGACGACGTTCCAAACATGCTTTGGTCGATACCGCTTCCTCCGACTACCGTTCGGCACCAACGTCTCATCCGAGATATTTCAGAAGCGTCTGCAAGATGTGCTTGGAGACCTCCAGGGCATCATCGTTATCGCGGACGACATTGTTATACATGGTTGAGATCAGGCTGAGCACGACGCTAACTTAGCCAAGTTCCTGCAGCGATGTGATAGCATCGGAATCCGTCTCAACAGCAGCAAGTTCGAAACTGGTCTATCCAGAATCAGCTTCCTGGGACACCGCATCACCAAGGATGGTTTGGAAGTGGACCCTGAGAAAGTCAAGGCCATCAACGACTTGGCAGCTGCAACCAACCTCACTGAACTACGCAGGTTCATCGGCATGGTGAACTACCTCTCTCGTTTCGTTCCGAACTTCACCGATGTCATGCAGCCACTCCAGAACCTGCTGCAGAAGGACGTGCCATTCGTGTGGTCTGACACGCAGCAATGCGCGTTCAAGACAATCAAGCAGATGTTGTCCACCACACCAGGTTTGGCATTCTTCGACCCGAACAAGAAGATCATATTGGAGAACGACGCCAGCGAATATGGCCTGGGCTCGGTCCTGATGCAAGATGATCGCCCCATTGCTTTCGCCAGTCGTTCGTTGAAGCCTGCCGAGCGCGATTATGCACAGATAGAAAAATAAATGCTAGCCATCATGTTCGGTTTGGAGAAGTTTCACCACTACACATATGGTGCGCACACCATTGATGTCATCACTGACCATAAGCCGTTAGTATCCATCTCACAGAAGTCGCTAAGCAAAGCGCCGAAGCGGCTGCAGTCACTGCTATTGCGCGTCCAGCCGTACGACATAAAACTCTCCTACCAACCAGGCAGCGAACTGCACATTGCTGACACACTGTCCAGAGCTCCACTTCCCGATGATAGTAAGGACGAGCAGGTGTCTGGCAACAATCTTGAGCTTTGCCCTGTGAGTGAGCGTCGGCTCAATGAGATTCGCCTCGCTACACAGCAAGACCCGAGTCTCACCAAGCTAATGCACCAGGTCATGTTGGGGTGGCCAGACGCTCCCCATCTAGTAAGCCCAGAAATACGGCCTTACTTCAGCTACCGAGATGAAATCACAGCACACGACGGCCTTCTGCTCCGCGGCGAGCGCATCGTCAATCCACTATCCATGCGCAATGCTGTGAAAACCAAAGCACACGCCGGACACATGGGAGTCAACTCCTGCATACGGAGAGCCCGTGACCTCGTTTATTGGCCTGGAATGTCGAGTGAGATTCGTCAGTTCGTCGAAAACTGCGACACCTGTGCTCGTGATACCAGCAAGCAGCAGCCCGAGACACTCTTCCTACACCCAGTGCCAGATCGCCCGTGGCAGAAAGTAGGAATAGACATCTTCACCATCAAGTCAAGAAACTACTTAGTTACAGTTGACTACCTGAGCAACTTCTACGAGGTTGACTTCCTTCCTGACACCCTGGCCAGCACTTGCATCAGCAAGATCAAGTATCACTTCGCCAGGCATGGGATCCCTGATGTAGTCATCTCCGACAATGGTCCCCAGTTCTCATGCCGGGAATTTAGCGCCTTCGCCGCAAAGTGGGAATTCTCGCACGAGCGCAGCAGCCCAGGCAACAGCAAATCGAATGGTGCTGCTGAGGCCGCCGTCAAGGATGCGAAGAAGTTCATGAAGAAGTGCAACGAGGAGAAGTCCGACCCATACCTCGGGTTACTGAATGTCCGCAACACACCCACTGAAGGTCTCAGCACCAGTCCCGTGCAACGGCTATTTGGTCGCCGAGCCAGAACTGTGTTGCCAACCCTGAATGATCGCCTCAAGCCCGCTGCAGCCGACATTCAGAAGAAGGAGACCAGAAGACAGAAGGCAGCTGAGCACCTTGACCACCGAAGGAAAGACCTTCCGCCACTCATGTCTGGCGCAAAGGTTTTCATTCAACCGATTGACGGCAAGTCGAGAGAATGGCAGCCTGCAGTAATCACCGACAAGACGTCGAACCGCAGTTATGAAGTCTCCTGCAACGGAAGAGTCCTGCAGCGGAATCGACAGTTTATCCGACCCGCACCGCCGACTGCAGCTGACGGACCAGACCGGGCATCATCCCCACCGTCGAGCCCGAAGCTACCTGGACCGTCAACGCCTGTCCCCAAGGCCACGCCATCCAAGATCCCGGCGCTGGTGCAACGCACGCCATCTAAGATCCCGGCGTTGGTGCAACGCACACCATCCAAGATCCCGGTGTTGGTGCAACGGTCGCCACAGTCACAAGGCGCCCGCACTGACATCCAGACAACGTGATCTGGAAGAGTGGTCCGGATCCCTAAGCGTCTCATCATGGACTCCTGATTGATCAGTAGTGTCTGTTTACGAGTCGTTTCATTATGTATGTGCGTGCTGCATTACATATGCTCAAGCCAGCTCATCATGTTGAGCTCTTCATTTGAGCCTTATTATGCCGCCGTACGCATGTATTTGATTTGCTCGGACACTCTTATATCAAAGAAAGGGAGATGTCACGTGTACTGCGTTCACGTACACATGTGTTATATGTGTGCCCCACGCATGCGCAGGTGACGTCATGCGTGGATTGGGTTTTGGCTCTTTGCTGGCGTTTCAGGCTTTCGCTAGTCAGTCTGTTCTCTACACTTCTGGCAACTGGTTTTGCCAATGTTCATATCACGTTGCAAATTTCAATTTGGTCCTGTTTGGGCCTGTGTGGATCTTTCACCGGTACGTACCTAGTACCTGTAGAATACTTAATAGTTGAACAAATTTAATTGTTTTTGCCGTATACTGATGTTCAACATAACACGTATAAAACTTGTTCGGAAAATCGGTAAAACCAATAAATCGATCGTTAGTGTTATTGGTTGATCGTTAAGGCACAATGGGCAATCGTTTCGGCCCCAATATTAATTATGTATTACAGTTGGATGGAACTTTGCTCTGGGCATGGACATTCTGTCGTTATTCGCGAATTGTCGTTGTATCCGCAGTCGTTATTAGCGAAGTTGACTGTATAATCATTATTATCATAAGGCCACCTGAAATTAATTCGTTGTTTCGGGTCACTTCACTCATCCGTACCAGGCAGGCCTGCAGGGTCGGTCGGTCGGGTTTATTTTATATTTTATTTTTATTTTGGTTACTGCCATGTGCATACATATGTACATGTACGTCACGATACACATGTACAACTGTGCATATCGAATATCCAAGCTTTTGTCCATCAAGCCAGTCGATCAAATTATTTGTCTGTAGACGATCCAGCTCAGTCCCATCACTGCATCAGGTCCAGGTCTCCTCCAGGACCAGATCTTGGCCTCGCTGACAAACGAGTCTGACCAGCAGCTCCCACCAACACTTCTGTCAAGGAGCAACATGATGGCGGAGCTGATGCTGTTTCAGGACCAATTGCTGATCAGGGATAATAGAAGACGACGTCGGCACCAAGCGCTGCATCATGTCAGTTGGCTGCTCCCGAGGTCGACGTCGATGTCTGGACTGCTGAAAATCGATCGCGATCCGTGGATCGGGAATGATCTGCACTAAAATAGTTTTCGACGCGAAAGGCCCTCCCGTCGTGTTCCTGAGGCTTTGGGAAAACGCGGCCAAGGATTCAAAATAATTCTGCGGCAAATTCCACGGGGGAAAAGGGGGGTTTTCTGCGGCACTTTCTGCTGTAAAATCAAAAATCTGCGGCACTTTTTGCAAGTAAGTTTTTTCATACTACTATTATGACCAGGGAGTCGTAAAATACCGGGAGGCGACACGCCACACATTTCACGATCCGAGGATTGCCGCACTCGACCCGCGAAATTTGAAGCGTGATTGAAACGTCGTCGTCATCTTCTTTTTCTCAATTGTTTTTGCTATATGCTTCGAGGCTATTCTGGATCTCCAGAGCGAAAGCTGGTTGTTTCTGATACGTACCACGCATTACCTTAGGTTGAGCCGTGGCTTTTAATTTTTTTTTGGAAGTTCACTGCTTTGGAGACGACGGAATGTCAAGGTAAGTTATTCACGAAATGTACTCAAATTTGAATTGAGTCAATGCGAATGACACCCTGTTTTCGGAATAGTTCTCCACTAAACACACCATGCCCATGGCCCCTTCATGTTGTCCAAGTTCCATTCTAGGTTTGTGTGAAGTTTCGAGATGAAGTTCGACGATGTACTCACCTTTCCATGGAAGGGAAAAAAAAGTAGCATATCAAACAGAATCCATGCAGTATTTGATGCCACTATCCTCATTCTTCTGCATTCAAAGTGTTTCACATCTATATGGCCCATGAACTGCAAACAATATTTGTCATTTCTTAACTGTTCATAGCTGTTCATAACTGTTCTGAACACATTGCCTTCAGGAAACGTAAGGCCGAGTCGCCTCACCGACTGAGCAAAGTTCTCTGCGACGAAAGTCACACTATCGGCGAATGCACTCAAGGTGAATACCCGTCAATATCCTGTATACTGCTTGTACCGCTTATCACAGTAGCATACACACAAGCACACATACATACACACACACACACACACACACACACACACACACACACACACACACACACACACACACACACATGCATGCTCGTGCACACACAAGCGCAAAATTCACATATCACTGGTTCAGTTGTTTTTATCTGTGTCGTATTTTGTCTTATACAGAGCTTCCGAGCCACGCCGAGTCACCTGACCAACTGAAGAAGGTTCTGTGCGACGAAAGTCACACTATCGGCGAATGCACTCAAGGTGAATAGGCCTTATGCACATTGTACAGATGCACGAAATCCCGTATAATCTTGTAGAATCCCGTAGACCCGGTTGGGTGTTGAATGTGCAGGACCCTATTGTGTTTACTGCTATTTCCACTATGAAATGGGCCATGAAGGCATTCATACGAAATCTTTTTCCGGCAGAGATCTAGCTAGTCGTTAGTTCAATCCCAAAGTGAAGAAGGCTTGAAAAGTGATCGTTTGCCATGAATTGTGAGGCTAAATGGGTCAAATGCGCATGTATAGCACACAATGAACACCCAACCGGGTATGTACACACCTACGGCCATAGTACAGAACTTCGTACATCTGTACAATGTGCATAAGGACTATACCCTGTGGACTGCTTATACCACTTATCACAGAAGCACACACACACACACACACACACACACACACACACACTACTACTACTACTATAGCATGACTGCCCATTGGGCAATGTCACCCCCGGAGGGGGCCAGAGTTTGGAGTGCACCGTCATTGGCAGGACTTCTGGTGCCTCGTCAAATCTTGCTGTCGTCGGAAACGTTTCGGGCAATGCATGCAGATCAGCGGCAGTGATTCCCTATCGGCTGCAGCAAGACGTTTTCCACGGTTGCAGTTATGGCGGTTAAAACCAGCCCGGGACTTGAAGCAGCGATTGCAGCGTTGACAATGCTGGAAGCAGCAACTAGCGAGAGACGCCGTCAATGCCGTATCTGCATGTTCAGGGAGTGCAGGCTGGCAGCGATGAACTGCAAGCCCACCCTTACTACGGAACCATCGGCAGCAACTGACGCACACACACACACACACACACACACACACACACACACAAGCGCAAAATTCACATATCACTGGTTCAGTTGTTTTTATCTGTGACGTATGGTGTCTTATACAGAGCTTCCGAGCCACGCCGGGCCACCTGACCAACTGAAGAAGGTTTTGTGCGACGAGAGTCACACTATCGGCGAATGCACTCAAGGTGAATACCCTGTGGACTGCTTATACCACTTATCACAGAAGCACACACACACACACACACACACACACACACACACACACACACACACACACACACACACACACACACACACACACACACACACACACACACACACACACACACACAATTCACACACACATATCACTGGTTCAGTTGTTTTTATCTGTCTTCTTTTGTCTTATACAGAGCTTCCGACCCAGACCAAGTCACATGACCATGGCCATGCTTGCGAAATGTCAGCACCCTTGCATGCCTTCACCTGGCACACTTCCTGGCGTAGCAGATTTGCAGTACCTGATGCCTTGTGTAACCGTGTCGTAATAACATGCAGGAATGACTCCGTCGCCTCAGTAACACTCGCCTGTCTCATTGTCAGCAGTTTGCAAATTCCATGGATCACTGCACCTTCCATAGGCCTGTACACCATGATGGCACTACCACTCTTACATCGATCTGCACATAGACAAAGTATGGTTTGAGGATGGAGGTTTACATCATCTACGGTGATGATACATACTAGGTACACACGTAAATTTTTCAGGACTTCAATAAATATCCTGTCACAGTGAACAGACAATGCATCGTGGGCAGACTAGGATGAAAAGGATGGTGTCGACCACCTAATTTATCGGGTCAGTTCGGGCACTTAGGTATGCTACAGATTATACATTCGTGTCCACAAGGAAGAGACAAAAACATGCAAACGAAAGAATCTCACCTGTAGCCCACAGCTGAACATCCCCACAACTCAGGTCACCAAGTGAATACGTGGCGTCATCTACATCTTCCACGGTGGACTCATCACTTTGGCAGTCATCTCTGTCAAGCTCCATCATCCTTTACTTCGAAGGCCAAGGCACAAAGTATTATTACTTAGAAAAACAAAACGAACTGCTGACACTGGATTCGTTGTGTGCAGGATAATTTTATTGAGTTTTCAAATTTTTTGGACCAAACAGCGAACGCGTCCTTTTGCATGACCTGCGCCGCTTTGACCTCCTGGGAAGTCCCTCGCCATGCAGCGCGTGAGGTCTCAGCACTCGTGCCCGAGCTGAGGCAATCATCCGACGCGGTTGTGCATCTCGTGTCGCCTCCCGGTATTTTACGACTCCCTGATTATGACAACTATGCATGAAGGAGCACTTTTCATACTATCCTTTGCAGTCACCATGGTCACGAACTGAATAAGAGTGAAGAATCTTGGAGAGACCTGCACTGGCAAGAGAAATGTGCTCAAACAGATCGCAAAGTAGTTTTTCTGCTACTTTCTGAGTAGTAATTTTAGTAATTTACCCTAAAAAATTCAGATTCCGCGGGCAAAAGTGTGGATTCCGTGATTTCCGCGGATGATGGCAACTTCTGCGAAATTTGCCGCGGCCGCGGAATCGCGTTTTTCCAAGGGGACAGGTGTTCCGTCCAGGCGCGGTCCGGAACGAAAGCCCACCGTACATGCACACGTACTGCGACGTAGGTCTACACGGTATCCGCTTTCCGCGTTCAGAGCATGACATGACATCGACGTACATTTCTTGCATAATAATAATAAATATTATTATAATGTTCGCGGGATCCGTGTCGGCCTATGTAGTATGTACGTAGTAGGGCATTCGGGTACCCGAACATGAAAAACATGGAACCGTTTCACCCCTAGTGCTAGTAGTAGATCTACGTAGTAATAATAATAAACAATGGACCCGGCCGTACCCACGTAGCAGAGAGTCGTAAAATACCGGTATTTTACGACTCCCTGCCACGTAGATATCTACGTCTCTCTGGGTTCGAGCACCTCTAAAGCTAAAGTAATAGAGTCATGTCATGTACGCATGCAGCAGCTGCTGTACGCATACTGCTGTATTACTGGGTATATTATTTTGGTTTAATTTTTACAACACTCGACAGAGAAATTTGACAAGGACTCGTACAATACAATAGCGCTAGTCCTCGTGCTACGCTACAGTACTCGGAATTGGCTCTCGTTGTCGAGAGAGTGGAGACTGCTTGTGTAAAAAAAAGCTAGCCTTTGCTAGCCTTTGCTAGCCTTTGCCTTTGTCTATTTGGTTTTCGCAACCAGTGTGTCCTTGTGGTGTCGGCTTGAGCGCAGATTTTCCGCCGCTACATCTTTTGAAACGGTTCGTGCGGTCCCTCCCAATCTAGCTCGCCCGCGCGAGCCAGCGGGTACAATGGAGACTGAAGAGAAACTAGACCTGCGGTCCAGCGAAGGAGACTGCGTCTTGTGCTCTGTGACCGAGGCTGAAGTAAGCCTGGATGAAATGCTAAGCCTGGCGTGTCGGCAAGGCAAGCAGGACATCGTGGAGCTTCTTCTGGAGAGCGGTGCTCTTGTGAATCACCGAAACAAGGCAGGGAATACTCCTCTGCTCGAAGCATGCAGCCAGGGTCATGTAGACGTGGCCAGGCTGCTTTTGGACCGAGGTTCTGTGATCGATGCTCCAACGGAATCGACGTCAGATAGCGCCCTAACTTGGGCGTGCACGCTTGGAAACGACCTAATCGTACATTTGCTTTTGACTCGCGGAGCAAACGTTGAGCACAGGACCAAAGATGGTTGCACCGCCCTGATGTTCGCTGCGTTGGCCGGACACGTGCAAGTGGCTGAGCTACTGTTGGACCACGGCGCTGAGATCAACGTGCAGTCCGACTCGAACAAGGACAGCCCGCTTACGTTTGCCTGCTGGAAGGGCCATCATGATGTTGTTGAGTCGTTGCTGAATCGCAGCGCACATATTGAGCATCGCACGAAAGAGGGCTTCACCCCTTTGATGTTTGCTGCACTCGGCGGTCACACCGCCGTCGCCGATCTGCTGCTGGTGCAAGGTGCCAAGGTGAATGTGCCGTCCGGTTCCAACAACGACATCCCGCTGACATCTGCGTGCTGGAAAGGCCACCACTCGGTCGTCAAGTCGCTCATCGAATATGAAAGCAACTTGGAGCACCGCACCAAGGATGGCTGCACGCCGCTGATGTTAGCGGCACGCGAGGGTCACTTGAGCGTGGCAATGCTGATACTGGAGCGCGGCGCCAAGTTGAACAGCCCGTCCGGCAGCGAGAACAACATTCCACTGACGCTGGCTTGCTGGAAAGGCCACTGCGAAGTGGTGGAGTTGCTGCTGCATCACGACAGCGATCTCGAGCACCACAACAAAGCTGGCTGCACACCGCTGATGCTGGCAGCCCGAGAGGGCCACGTTGAGGCAACTGAGTTGCTGCTCGAACATGGCGCCGAGATCAATGTCCCGTCCGGTTCGAACGACGACACTCCGTTAACGTTAGCATCGTGGAAGGGACATGCGGAAGTCGTGGAGCTGCTGCTGTCCAATAAGTCCAATGTGGACCACCAGACCAAGACTGGCTGTACACCGCTCATGGAGGCTACGCGGGAAGGACATGCACTCGTAGCTCAGTTGCTGCTTGAGTATGGTGCTGAGGTTAGTATGCATTTGTGGGTGCCTGTGCGTGTTTGTGTGTGTGTGTGTGTGTGTGTGTGTGTGTGTGTGTGTGTGTGTGTGTGTGTGTGTGTGTGCGTGTTTGTGTGTGTGTGTGTGTGTGTGTGTGTGTGTGTGTGTGTGTGTGTGTGTGTGTGTGTGTGTGTGTGTGTGTGTGTGTGTGTGTGAGAGTTAAACCCTTTACCGGCAGCCCCATACTTGAATGCGTCAACGTTGACGCATTCGACATGCATACAAAACCATGCCTGGCATGACGGGAAGCATCTTTTTACGGGGATTTCCCGTGGCCCTCACACAGCCAAGGTATGATCCTATCGGTAGCTGAAGAGATCCACGCGTGTCCCATTTGATTTCATTGAGAACTGCGCGATCGAAAACTTACGGAAATGCATGCGCGCCAACAATGCCGTCCGCCCCCGTCAAAACATCGCCAGGTGCATATTCTCTTGCGCAGTGAGTTCCTTTCGTCCTCGGATGACTTCTCCTGCGAGGACTTAGCAGTCATTCGCTCTGGGACCGACGACAGATAAATTAATACTTCGTTCCAGCCGCCGATGCAAGCGAATTTCAAATTACGGACCGGGGCGCACACGAAGTAAATTCTCACGCAAATGTGGGGAGCGCTAGCCGCTGAAGACGATGTCGCCGTGCTGTACCTGGAAGAATCCGATGGTGCTTATGGTGGGGAAGCCATGGAGAGCGATCCCCGTGTCGACAGTCTCCCAGAGACGGAATTTAGGCCATCGACTTTCTACGTACCTGAGTGACGGCAGCGCAGCGCGGTGTGCGTGCAACCGTACGGAGCTTTCCGACAGCGACTCTGGGGCGATGCTGCTCTCATTTGCGAGCGAGGCATGGCCACTGAAGTTTGTGATGGCTATGGCGTTTGTTTCCGCTCCGAAGTCGACTTGTTTTGGCAGTATCATGTCAGTGTCGGAATCTGACGATTTGCACTATGTACGATTTCCGTGTTTAGACGTAGAGGTGCCAATTTAGCAGCGTATGTGTGTGGTATGAGAAAATAAGTTTGTCCATGGTCAAGAAGTAGTACTAGACTTCCAATAAAACATAACTATTACTTGCACATACAAAATGTGGCCTCGTGAGTTATTGGCATCCATCTAAATGTTATGGATTTCATATACAAAAGTAACATTACCGTACGGTCATCAGAGTACCATGGCAATCATGGGTATTGAGCAGTCTTCGGACAGTGAATCACACCACTTGACTACAACAGGAAAACCTGTGAAGGCGACCACTCGGATAAGGCGACCACCTGTCCAAGAGGACCACTGGAACCAGGATTAAGGGATGCTATTTCCGGTCATATGACCCTGGACGAGGAGACCACCTGGTGACAGAGACCACGTTTTGAAGTCGTCTTAGACAGGTTTCAGGGTAGTTACCTATAACAAACCCCAGTGCACTAAGGTCCACTTTGCCCACTCCCCGTCCTTTTGTTTCACGTTAAGGTAGTTCGGGACATTTAGGCTGACGTGTTGAAGTTGGGCATACGGATGTAAGCACAGCACAAACGTCTAAGGGATCTGAAATTATAATTGTATAGGGTCTATTGGACCTCTCGCTCTTCAGGAAGGGTGAATAGCCAATGTTAATTTGCAGCTAATTTGGGCAATTTTTGCTAGAAAAGGAATATCTTTAGAATGGCTGATAACATACTCATAAAACTTTGGGAAGACGAAGTACACGCCATATAGATGGCATCAAGAGTACATAAACAAGAGTGTGCAACTCGACGACCCCCAGCCCACTGCGGAATATTTTTTATGACATGCGTCTTTGGCGGCTTTTTGGCCCCGCTGATGCCATCATGCGTCGCCAGAGATCAAAGTACGAATAATTTGCACATTACAGCTACGGTAGTGGAAGCAGAACAACGGACGATAGACCGATGTGTCTTGAACCTGATGAACTCCACCGTATCTACAAAACAAGCGCGGCATCCTGGCATGTCCAGGATTTGGCTGAGGGGGGGGGGGGGGATGACATCATGCTACTGTCCCAGGTCAGCCATTTTGAAAACCGATGTCAAGGAGCCGTAAATCTCACACACCACGAGCAGTATTTCTGTACACGCAGCAACATTGTACATTGTAAACTACAATTTGCCGTTATGTGAGCCAATCAACTGCAATTGTTCATGCGAGTCCAACAATGTCTCACCGCTCAAAGCATCCTTTACATAGGCAGCGGTACTATGTCCACTCGTCACTGTGCGCTGTTCTACATGTTCTGGCTGCTCGCTGACAACAGGTTGTAATAGATTGACTAGTAACTGTTGACGCCACCTCATCTCTCTCTATCTCTATTATTTCGTGATATGTAACGTATTTACTGTTGATCACTACTACATATTATTACTGTTGAACTAACGTGTTACTTCGTATTATTTATTCACGCTGTGTTTGTGACATTCTTCCTTTTTCCAGTATTATTGTGCGTGCACACGATGACGCAGGTCGCCATTTTGTCCGTGTCATCTTGGTGCGCGAGCCTTGATCCTTTTTCTCTAGCTCTTTTAGTTTTAGTTCTTCTTGTGCAAAAGCAAGTGATTAGTCCAATGTCGAGTGGGCTGTGAGTGTGTTTTCTTCGATGTTTGTACGTTGAAAACGCGTCGAGCGCGCCTGCAGGGATCACACTGTACAACAGTACGAGTGTACACAGTCGGGTCACCCTCCGTGTTTCTGTAGCCGTGCATGCTCACTGTACTCTGTAGACTGTAGTGTGGACAATCAACACCAGCGCAAGCACCATACTCGTACCGTGCAACCGCTTAGGCCGCGCGCGCGCCCCGAGCCTAGCAGCTAGCTAGCCCTGCCTTTTATTTTTCGAAACCAAGGTCGAAACTTTTGAGGGGGAGGGGGCGCGCGCCCCCCCCCCCCCCAAACCCGCCATTGTACGGCTTTTATATTTTTATTTTTTCTTAAATTTTTTTAAAACTTTTTTTAAAAAAATTTCAACTTTTTTTATAATTTTTTTAACTTTTTTAAAAACTTTTTTCAACTTTTTAATACTTTTTTTTAACTTTTTTGTAACTTTTTTTAACTTTTTTTAAAACTTTTTTTATTTATTTTTTACTTTTTTACTTCATACTTCTGCATTCTGAGATTGTTGAAAAAAGAAAGAAAAAGAAGTCAGAAAGCCTTTTTCTTCACTTTGTTATGCCTACTGAGCAATCTAAAGCAAGAATCATCGTGATTGAAAGAAGAAGAAAAAGTTGTCCAGCAGGGGATTCGAACCGACAAACATCGATCACGACGGAAAAAAAGAAAAAAAGTTCGTCAAAAGTGGGATTCGAGCCTACAACTTTTTTTCTTTTTGTTCTCAAACATCAAGATTCAAATCCAAAAAAAGGACTGTCATTAAAACAGAAACAGAAAAATAATAAGGCACCCATTTTGATAGTCCAGGGGATGGCCCACGCCTGGTAAAGAGAATAAAATAGAGAAAAGAGAATAAACCTACAACTTCTGGTTTACGAAGTCTGAAGAGAATGTTGAACGGCCTCTGCTGGGATGATGACTACACCATAGCTCAGTGGTTAGAGCATCGCTGGCTACAAGCGAAGGTCCCTGGTTCGAGTCCTGGTGGTGACAGTCAATTTTTTCTTCAGACTTTTCCCGTTTGTCTCCTTCCGTCAAACCAGTTAATACTTGAATTTTTTCAAGTATTATAATCATGCCTACATGCGTGTGTACGTTGGTGACTGTGTGTGTGTGTGTGTGTGCGTACGTGCGTGCATATGTGTGTGTGTGTGCATGTGTGTGTGTGCGCGTGCGTGTGTGTGTGTGCGTGTGTGTGTGTGTGTGTGTGTGCGTGTGTTCGTGTGTGTTTGTGTGTGTTTGTGTGTGTGTGTGTGCGTATGGCTACACTGTGTAGGTTGAGACTCCTGACAATTACGGCCAGTCACCGTTGTTTATGGCTTGCTGGAAAGGGCACGCGCGTGTCGCCCGCCTTCTGCTCGAACTCAATGCAAACCGCGACTGTCGTACCAAGACTGGTATCACACCACTCTTTCAGGTTAGCTGTCTGTGGGGTAGATCAATCATATGGCTGTCCTGCTCTCTCTCTCTCTCTCTCTCTCTCTCTCTCTCTCTCTCTCTCTCTCTCTCTCTCTCTCTCTCTCTCTCTCTCTCTCTCTCTCTCTCTCTCTCTCTCTCTCTCTCTCTCTCTCTCTCTCCCCTCCCTCTCCCCGCTATCTTGAATGCTGTCTCTTCCCATCAGGGTGTTGGTGCTGGCGGTGGTGCTGGTGGTGGTGCTTGTGGTGGTGCTTGTGGTGGTGCTTGTGGTGGCGGTGCTTGTGGTGGTGCTGGTAGTGGTGGTGCTTGTGGTGGTGGTGCTTGTGGTGGTGCTTGTGGTGGTGGTGCTTGTGGCCTCCTCCTCCTCCCCCCCCCCCCCCCAGCTCTCTCTCTCTCTCTCAAACAAGAATCATTAATGTTTCATGGAAGATAAGAAAATGTGTGATTTTTCTGGATTGATCGATCATTGTCTTAGCGCCCTAGTTTGGATTCGGCACGTTAGCCGTGAACGAGGACGCTGTTTCTTTGCTGTGTCTTTGCCCCATGGTGTTGTCAGGCGTGTCGCGAGAACCACATTGAAGTTGTACGTCTGCTCCTGGAGTACGGCTGCTCTGTCAACTCGCCGTTCCCGAACAGCAGCAAAGAGAATCCGTTGACGTTGGCGTCGGAGAAGGGCCACGTGGACCTGGTGAAGCTGCTGCTTGAGCGCGGTGGGAATGTTGAAGTAAGTGTTTTGGTCTGGGACCCTGGGTCGTTGCCGTGTCCACGTACCCAGGATGGCTGTCTGCATTCATTCCTTAGAGAAGTTATGGTGCACGTCATTTTTGATTTGATGCGAAAGTTCACATAGCCAGCAATCGCATGTCATCACGTACATTGAAAATCAACATAATTTTGCGAATCGACCTTTTTTCTGGATCACTTTTCAACGAGGACGAAGCAAAGTCGGCCGAACGAAGCCTAGCTCTTAATTTGCTAAATCCTATATATAGGATTTTGGTCATATTTTTCAACTCAAAATGGGTGTGGCACGAGCATAGAGAAAAGTATGTGACCAATTCTTCCTTGCTAGGTCTTAGTAGATATCGAGAGTTGAATAAGATAATTTTTTCAAACACTAACATCTCAGGCTCATCTCCTTCCCAATATTACTAAGGCCTGTGCCCTATTTTTCGAATCCTATATATAGGATTTGAGATTTTATTGGACCTTGTTTTATCCTTAAAACTGGTAGTTTCATGACGGCATGTGCGATATGTCGTCATGAAACCACACCTGCAATGTTCTTCTGCACATTCACTGCTTCAGTCCTTTCCATGACAGCAGCTGAACAAATATGCTCAAATTTCCAATTTTTGCTGAAAATGGGTATTCATCAGAAATATTATCGCCCTATGAATCTAAAATGTGAACATTCATGCCTCAAACATATTTACAACTTCCATGAAAACCATTATGCCGTTATTACTGGTCGTGATGACCAATAACAACGGCATAAAAGGCACACATTTTCAAATCCTATATATAGGATTTTGGGCCAGCAAATTAAGAGAGAGGAAGAAAATCACCCTCTCCACTTCACCATCACGATACTGACATAGATACGAGATGAAACAACTAAAAAATCCACAAGAAAACTGTACGGCCATCATCGCGCTGACTTTGGTCTGAGAATTTCTATCACGATCAAAAATGTACGAAGAGCACTCAAAAATAAGCCACAGACGTACCTTTATCGCTCTCTACTCCTTTTTCAAGGCACAAAAGTCGACTCTCCACTTTCAAACCAGGAAGCAGACATACCAGTGGTCCTTTTCAGCTGCTCCACAAGCGCAGGAAATGTTCACCAAGGGGCGCAGAGCAGCATCCATTCCAGAAAAAAGAGCTAAAATACGAGTGAGACTGCATGCCTGAGTACATGAGTACATGTATGAGTACATGCAGAAAATAGTCAATTTCAGCGTTTCTGCTCCAAACAGCAACTAGCTTCGACTAGAAACAAAGATTACACCAAAGGATCAAACAACAATCATTTTCTGCAGTTGTTTTTGCAGATGGCTTCCTTGTGCTTGGCCCAGCACGCCAAAAATCACACCTCGGAGGAGTACAAAAATTACAACTCTCAGATGTCCTCGATTGCTGGCCATGGCTCGCTTTATTTGGCTCGCGCGCGTTGGAAACAACGCGAGTTACCTGCATCGCGAGTTGAAATTTGGAGCTGAAATTGCGCGTTCCGTCAAAAATAACGTTCAGCTTAACCTCTTTAATCATTCATCTCCTTCTCCCCCTCTGCTGTATCCCTGATCCACTGACCGATCACACTAGCTGCTTTCGCCGCGGTGCTGATCTCCATTGCAGTTTCTAGCATACCATAGTTCCACTACATCCTTCTAAGCACCCAAATCCTGAGCATCCAGAAGACTGCACGAAACCCAAAGTGTGCAGCTTGTGACTTTTTCTCCATGGGTGACTGTCACGGCGAAATTCCGCAATTACATCATACTTGGTGCGGATAGGAGGCGGGAAGTGGCGTTTTGCGTACACTTGAGCTGCAGTTGTGCAGAAAGAGACCTGCTTGAATCCTGCGTGTACGCCGCACTGCATTGTTGTAGTGCGCTATTTTTGGGTACGTCGTGTGTACGTGGTCTTGGTGCATGCGCGCGCGTTGCTGTGGTGTGAAAAGCAGTCTTCGTCTTGAGTTCGTCATGTCTAGTTGTGTTTCCGTAGTCGTCTCTGTAATAAACAGTCTTTCCAAATGTAGTTATCGTCGTCCAATTGTATAAGTGTTGAGATGACATGGGGCTGGGAGCGGGTGGAGAAAAGCTATCTACAACTGCATCACTAGAATGGTGGATTTCGCGAAGTAAAACAAAGTTTTAAAGAAATGTGATCACGGAATTTTGCTGTGACCGCAACCCGTCACATGATCAGTCTCACAGAGCTGCACACTCTGGGTTTCATGTACTCTTGCCATCCAATATGCTGTCTGATGATTGACTATATCGTCGTGGTGACATCCACAGCATTAACAGGACAAAGCTTCCTGCCAATCTGAAAAAATCTGGAAAAAACCTCCCAATGCTGTAAGGGTTTTTGACTTTTTG